TTACATATATATAAAATATATATATGGATCTAGATTTCTTTTCTTAATTCTAAGAAAATTCTTCTTCTGTCATTTTGGGTCAACAAGTCAACCTGTGGTTCAGATTTTTTATCGTTTTGTTGTTGTTTTTTTGCTGATTTCGCCATTGTTATTGGTCTCCCTGTTGAAAATGTTGGGATGTTTGGTCTGTTTTACTTTGCAATCCTATGACATGGTTCAGTTTTCAGAGAAAGTGAGAAAACGTGTTCACTGTAATGGACCATTGACAAGACTGCAACCTTCTAGATCTATGTTTTTAACAGACTAGAGTGTAGCTTTTATTAGAATTCTGTAAAATTGTGAAATGCGTAGGCTGATAATTTTCCTAAAAAGTCATTTTTACTACTATGAGAAACCTCCCTTCCTGCACTGCAACAACATTCACACTTTCATATATGATACTAGTTATTAAGCTAACAAATGAGACTACCCAAACAGACTCTTTTGGACCTATTTTTTTTGTAATGTTTTTTCACTTTTCCTTCTCTCTGTAAACAGGACGTCTTTGTAATTGAAATTTTGTGTGACTGGTGCTCGGAGTCTGTCACAAATCATGTCAGCAGGCAGTAACACTGAGGAAAAAACTAACAATGAAAGAGTTCTTGATGACAGCACAGACATAGTGCTCATTCAGAGCAATGGATTGGCACAAGAAGAAAAAACAGGCTCATGTGCCTCTGCTGTTCCTTCTGTCAACGGTCCATCTCACGGTGCTGGTAGTGGACCACATAGTGAAGACCAAGACACTTTAACAAATGGAGATTCTCAGAGGTATGTCCGATTTTGATTCATTTTATTGATATAGTTGAACCTGTCCAAGATGGAATCTCAAGGGTACCAGAAAAAAAGGTTTCCATTTTATCGAGACGTATTTATCATTGGGAAGGGGGAGGGTATTGGTCTTGGACAAGTTTTCGTGGAAGCAGGTTCGACTGTACACCTATTGTTGATCGCTTAGGATAGAATGCCAGCCTGTTTTATTTTCTGATTAAAAAATGCATCTTTCATTGCTTTTCTTCATCTTCCCACTTTTGAAGAAAGAGTAAGGGCTCATGGTTTGCTCATATAGTACACAGCTTAGGAAAAAGAAAGTTAAAAAAAATCTTTGAGCTCTTTTACCCTAGTGGGAATCCAATGGGACACCAATAAGGGCTTTCTACTAGTCTCCTGTTCTGGTCCATCTTCTCTACCTCAAACCAGCCATGCCACAGCTGTTTGAGATCTGTATACTTCCCTTGATTCATCTTGCTTTCAATTGGATCTCTGCATTCTTCTCTTCCGTTTCATCGTCCCTTTGGAATTCCATCTTCAGTTTTGCAGAAAAGGGTTTAGACACTCTTCAGTTTTCACATCGCTGCAATAATTGTGTAGTACTTTAAGGAAGGTCTCTGTAATTTCAAGATTATTTCAAACAATTCTGAAAATTTGTTCCACTTTGAAGTTTAACAAGAAATATGTGTTGTATTGTGGGGAAATCAGGTTTTGGTCTGTATAACGAAATGAACTAAACTGGAATTTTTACATCCGTGGGGCAATTTTTATGGGATTTTTTTTCGTTCAACAGCGTATATATTTTGTTAAAAACACATTTCTGGCTGGATTCTTCTGAAAAATGTTGATAACGGCACAAAATATGTAAATTTACAGATTTGAACAACACTCATATTTTCAAAGTCCCTAAATTTTGGG